CGTAGTTCTTCGTAGAGTTCTTCTTCTTGTATTTCAGCTTCTTCTTTTGTAATAAGTTTTTGTCCAATATACTCTGGCATCATTTTTTTCAACTGTTGTGTTTATTACTTCATCAGTTATTTTTGTTGTTATTTCCTGGATGACGTCGAATAATGTTATCATGTCTTCTACTATATTAGTGGGCCTTCTTGCAGCTTATTCTTTTGCTGTTTGCTTCTCGTGAAAACAGTAACATGTTGCTTTTCTGCAGTTGTTGCTTGTTGTTGTTGTTGTTGTTTGCTGCGATTGTTTACCTTTCTTGCTTATATTTGTTTTCATCACGTAGTTTTTGTCATGTTTCCTTTGTTTATTTTTTATTACGTGTTGTGATTTTTGTATTGCCAAAACAGATCTGTGATTCAGGGTCAAGGTCGATTTCCCAATTTTTCACAAAGTGCAAAAAAATACTGATGATATTTTACAACTTCTTTTATTTCTTTGTTACTTCTGTCCTTTTCAACTCAAATCTCTAAGAGACTGAGTGTTTTTTGTAGTCCTCTTTCTCTTTCTTTAGAGCTTCGAGTCTGATTTTCTAGAGGCTTTTGTGTATTTTTTGAAGTTTTTGTAAATTATGATTTTTCGGAAATTTGTGTTTTGATGATCAGCAGAAAGAGTGTCGTGTGATTTTTTGTACATGTGAACTGAAATCTGCAAATTTTGATCAAAGTTACATCATTTTGCAAACAGTGATTTAAAATTACTAATAATAGACAAATGTTTTATGTAATCAAACTCCATTAAGGGTAGAGGGTACAATTTGTAAATTATATATAAAATTGGTGGTATTTTGTTTTATTGTTTTAAATTAAACAAAATTTTATTAAGAAAACTGTTTTTATATTTCTAAATAAAATTGTAAAGTAGGTTTTTCTGATTCTAACAATAACAAAATTATTAAATTAGGATTAAAACTCAGCGAGATATAATTATTTTAAAATTTAGATAGTGTTAATTGTTTACAAAGATCATTTGACATCAGCCAATCAGAATCAGGAATTTTGTACTACCTAGAAAATTTTGAAACATCCTAGAAAAACTTTACAATATATGCAAGTATGTTTTTTTAAATTAATATCGCCTCTAAAAGTTTACTATTTATAAATAGGGGTTTGTATCTATAAGCCACGAAATTTTGGTAAAAATTAATTGTGGCTTTAAAAAATTTTATTAGTGACACATTTTTGTTATCTATATAAAGTTCTGATCTACCATGCAGGTTATATGAAAATGATCGACATTACCCTCTACCCTTAAATAAACGATTTCTTACCCGGATTATATATGTTGTGCCCAGTGATGTAAATTGGATTCGCGCAGTAGGCGCAGCGTACATAGATTTAAATTTGCGCATATATCAACGTTCTCCGTATATATAAAGCGCGTATAAATTTCTTTTTTGTGCACATTTTTTTTGCGTTTGCGCCAATAAAAATTTTTTGAATTTATAACACTGGTTGTGCCTCAGAACAATTCTTACCTCAAGTGCCGATCGGCCTAAATTAGAGTTAGAGTTAGGATAAGGATTAGGTTATAGTTTAGGCAATTAATGTCAATCAGTTAATGCCGGCCAAATGATCAACACCTGAAGTGCCTCAGTTATCACCTGAAGTAAAAATAGTTCTGAAGCACAACGTATAGCGTTACCCGTCTTGAAATGAATAAATACCTTATGTTCATCCTTTTCAACTCCAATTCCTTCACACACAATATTTAACGTTAAATGTTCTACTATTTCTGTTGATTTTTGATAATAGATGAATGCTTTATGTATTTCAATTACATTGAGTTTACTAATTTCTCCCCATTTCACTATCGGAGCATTATAAATTGATTCATAACACAGGTACTCCGATATGTGAATAATTTGTAGAACCAATCAGAAGTGGGGGAGAAATTAGTAACGATTACATTAAAGTAACACTCGTTGCATCAGCATTTCTCATTACTGCAGATTTTTACAAATGCCTTATCGTTATGTTCATCCCTTTCAACTTCAAATTCTTTGTCACAATAATATTCAAATATTAAATGTTCCACTAGCATTACACACCTCTGCTGATTTTGATAATAGACGAATGATTTATGTACACCATTAAAATAACAATTTCTTACCCGTTCCATCAGCGTTTCTCATTTCTGTAGATTTTTGAAAATAAATGAATGCCTTATGTTCATCTTTTTTCAACTTCAATTCCTTCATCACTCCACTAATGTGTTCATCTCTGTAAATTTTTGATAACAAATAATGCTTTATGTTCATCCTTTCATCTCCAATTCTATTAAAACAACAAAAATTTCTTATCTATTTTACGTTCCATCCGCATTCTCCATATTTACAGGTTTTTGAAAATGGATGAATGCTTTATTTCATACTTTTCGACTCTTAACTTCTTTGCCATAACAATATATGTTCTTATTAAGAAGTCAGTGTAATGTCCTTGCAACATGCATTTGTTAATGCTTTTCTACCTTGTGACTCAAGATTATTGCAAAGTTCATCTACTTAAGACTCCAAGGGCCAGGGACACTAAAACACACTGGCAAAGAGTTCACTCGAAAAAACTCCAATACCATTTAGAAATATTCCAAAATCGTCAACTTCAAGAACTGGCCTCTAGTGATAACGATCCCAAAAGTGACACCAACAATGACAACTTTAACAGTAAAACGAGAATTATCCAATACAGACTATGGAAAAAAATAGAACTTGATTTGATTAAAATTATTAAAATTATATCAGAATTTAATTAGAATTTTAATTAGAATTTAAAATTTAGATTAGAATTAGAGATGCGACCCGCATGCAAAAACCCCACCCGGATAGATACCCAGATGAATCCGGATTGACTATTAAAATGAATAATTTATGTGCTAAGTGTCGGAAACTCCAGAGAATAAAGTTAAAAAAATCATTATTTATTATAATTTAATTTACTTTATTATTTTATGAATCGAATTTGTTTTTTTTTATAATTTATTCTATCATTATTTTTATTTATGATTTGTTTTTTATTTAATTTAATAAAAATTTTTCTTTTTTATTTAAATTTATTCTTATTTTAAAGTTTTTTGTTTAGAAGTGATATCATTTAGCATTACATACAGTAACCGGAGCCTTAAAATTAAACAATACAAGGTACTATTCATGAATCCAATGAATTCATCGGTCAAAGGGATTACTTTACGTGGTATAATATTTATCTTGAGGAATACTGTTCTCAAGCGGCTCTTTCATTGTGATTTGCTACATGTAGTGATCGAGATGCTGTAGTTAATTAAAATTAATTAGAGCGATTCTTCTAGCAATTTTGTTGAAAATTCATTTTGTAAAATGCAAATTCAAAAGTTTAGCAGATCAGAGTAACTCTATAAAGAAAATATAATTGTCAGGCCCAGATTTTTTGTGTTAAAAATGGCCAAAGTTAGTAATTGAAGTAATTGAATAAATTTGCAAAGTGAGTTACCATTATTTAATGAAAAGAAAAAGGCTACCTATCTTATTTTCATAGATTGGTTAATCAGTATTTTGTACAATGGATTTTTAGCAAAATTATTACCAAAGATCACTAACTAATTCGCAATGCCTTAAATTAATAGTAAATCTTATTGATGAAGCCATTATAGAACCTCACTAAATTGAATAAAATTAAGACAAAATCATACAGTGATAAGAATTCATGAACTTGAATTATTACACCAAATACAATGATAAATAACTAGTCTTCGGCTCACTGATTATGCTAAATGAAATAAAAAGTAGGTTTCAGATAATAGTAAAAATATCTAAATAGCTTGCCTTAGATATATCGAAATCAACGCAAATAAAATAAGCTTAAGGGTATATCGCGCAATGAAAGTTTATGTTGAATGTTTCTATTAATAAAGTAAAGCAATGCGAATAAAATAATGCTAAGCGATATTGTATATAGTTATATATAAATTGTATAGCTTATTTTAAATGCTTCAACAATAAGATTATACAGATCTAAATTTTTACACAGTTATATTAAAGGTACACAAATTTGATTGGTGTTGCGAAAAATTTCTTTCAAAAAATTTATTTTCGATATTATTTTATTTCTTATTTTATTTTCTTCTACAAGTAAATGGGTGTGCACCCCAAGATCAGGATTTCGAACCCCAGGTCCGGGTTTGAAATATTCAATTAGCATGTGGATATTCCGTTGCACAAAATCCGTGAATAGTTAAGAATTGGGTTTGTATCAAAAAATCCCCGACAGTTATAAAAGTATTCCAAATATTGGTGTCGTGTCCAATCACGTAAATAGAGCCAATAAATCGTTTATTTTGATCGACATCGGGAAAAAAAAAAGCAAGAAACGAGTGTTTAAACCTATCTTTGGGATTAATAAAAAATGTTAGAGGGCCATTTTACTATAAAACTAACCCTTACCTTAACTTTAATCTAATAATCACTCTTGTAAATCACAAATTTTGGTGTATGAACATATGGCTGCATGATGTGACATAGTATAATAGAAGAATTTTCAATTATCGAGATTTTAATTGTCGCGATTTTTTTAGCTGTCGGGATTTTTTTTGTCGGGATTATGACATATCGGGATTTTGTTTGTCGGGATTTTGGCTCGCACCCTCAAGAATTATATCATTAATACCCTGCCTTACTATTTGTTGTTCATGCCTACCTTCATTATAATTTCCCGTGCAATCATATCATGATCGGGAATCTTCCATGGGAAGATTCCCGGTCACAAATAATCACGTGAAAAATTATAATAAAGGTAGGCATGAACAACGTAAGGCAGGGTATTATTCATTTATTTCCTGTGAGGAGTTTAAAATTACAACAGAGAATTCCCGATGATCATATGATGCAGACGGCCCTTCGGGCCATCTGTATCCTATGATCATCGGGAATCTCTGTTGTAATTTTTAAGCTCCCAGGAAATAAATAATACGAATATCCTTTGTAAATATCCGTGTAAATATCTGTATGAATATTTTGTGCGAATATCCGTGTAAATATCTGTGTTAATATTCTGTGCGAATATTTGATTAATAAGAGAACGTATTCACGTGATATTCTCTGAATATCCGCGATTTCTCTATGAATATCCATGCTTTCTCTATAAATATCTGCGATTTCTCTGAATATCCGTAAATTTTCTATGAATATCCGCAAATTCTCTGAATATCCATGAATTCTCTATGAATATCCATGTAAAATCAGTATATTTATTCAATATCATTCGCGAATGACTAAAATCCGTGAATAATCATTAAACAGCCGTGATGAATATTCAACTCTAGCCCAGGTTAGCTTGGGTATGAAATCCAAAGCAATTCAAAATGTATAAATATGGTGCTCAACCTAATAAAAATCAGAACACTTTCCCACTTTGGATTGATAATAATAAGTGATCCTTTGGCTTCGATCTTGGCAATACTACCTAACAAGTGACACGTGATGACTTAATACGAACCAGCAGCAAAAGTATCGATTTTGATAATCTGCGGTTGCTGTTTTGATAGATCTACAACTAGGGATGTGAAAAGCTCGATCCGGTCCCGACTCTGACTCCAAAAGTCGAGTCTTTGTTAAATGCTCAGTCCAAAGAAGACTTGGGACTTCGACTCGCATCTGCACGTGCATTTAGTATATTTAGAAAATGCGAATGCATGTAAAGCAAGCATGAATACGCATTTTTTATGCTATATCTAAATATACTAAATGTGCGTGCAGATGCGAGTCGAAGTCCCAAGTCTTCTTGGGACCGAGCATTTAACAAAGACTCGAACTTTGGAGTCGAGTCGGGACTGGACTTTTCACATCCCTACCTACAACACACCCTAAATCTGAGTTACGTTATTGATACATTTAGTATATGTAAAATCGATTTTTTCAAGGCTTTGAGCAAAAATATCTCAACAGCCGTCCAACAAAATCTGATGAATTTTTTTTTATTTTGATCCTACAGGTCTAAAAAAATCAAATTAAAAAAAAATTCATCGATTTTGGTTGAATACGTATTTGTTGAGATAGTACAAAAATTATAGTTTCAAAACTTTGAGCGAAGATATCTCTGCAACCATTCAATCAAATTCGATGAAGTTTTTTTATTTTGATTTTACATATATGTAGAATCAAAATAAAAAAAAAAGTTCGGTGAATTCGGTTGGATATTTGCTGAGATATCTTCAAATTTTACAAAAATTTTGCTGCGGCCGTTATTTTGATAGGCGTTTTGAATAGTTTCGAAAATTAGACGAAGATATCTCGGCAACTACTCAACCATATTCGATGTTTTTTTTTTAATTTTGATTATGCAAGTCTGTAGAATCAAAATAAAAAAAATCATTGAATTTGTTTGGGTAATTGTTGAGATATCTTCGCTCAAAGTTTTTAAATTTTATAAAATTTTGAACAAAGATATCTTAGCAAATACCCAACCAAATTCAATGTTTTTTTTTTTTATTTTTGATTCTAAAAATTTGTAGAATCAAAATAAAAAAAAAATTCATCGAATTTGATTAAGTGGTTGCAGAGATATCTTTACTCAAATTTGAGACAATATCTGCGACAAACTTTTGTAAAACTTTGAGCGAAGATATCTTAGCAACCACTCAATCAAGTTCGATGAATTTTTTTTTTAAAAAAAAAAAAAATTATCAAATTTGTTAGGTAGTCGTTGAGATATCTTCGCTCAAAGGTTTGAAACCATATAAACTATCTATCAAAATAACAGATTTTGTAAAAGTTTGAGCGAAAATATCTCGGCACCCACTTAATCTAATTCAATGAATTTTTTTTACAGAACCATAGAATCAAAATAAAAAAATTATCGAACTTGGTTGGGTGGTTGTTGAGATAACTTTGTTCAAAGTCTTTGAAATAGATTTTCTATATACTAAAATGCATAAAACGGGTACATTTGTGCATATAAAAATCGATACTGTACTTTTGGATCCCAGCATCACCGTAAAAAAGGTATTATCACGTGATGATCGACAGTGGATTATTCAATAGCGAGTCTCGCTTTAGTGTAACGTAGCACAATCAGGAAGATCAAAACAAAACGGACGTTTTTTTATAAGTCAAAATTTGCATAAGTAACCACCTTTTGCGTTCTAACCAAAAAGTTTCCTTGAGCAATTTTACTATATACTCGCTAACATTTAGCCCCATCACCCTAACTTAAACGAATTTAAAGATTTTTTTGATGCGTCACGGCTACTGTCACGTGAAGTAAATTTTTTTTTACGGTGACGCTGGGGAAGATATACGAACCATAAGTAACCCAAACACGTAACCTGTAAAGACCTAATACGAACTTCAAGTAACCCGAAATACGTGACATGTGATGACCTACCTTGCATACGATAACCAGTAAATAAGCAAGTTACCAACCCAACTATATTCGTATACCAATTCGACAACTTATTCCAGATCGACCGCATAACCAGCTCTAGGATAAACTATCAGCCCAATTCTAGTACAGTGCAGCGTATTGTTCATATCAACAACGCCGTTCTATGTCTGGGCCTTGTGCTAAATTGGTGTCAAGTAATGATAAACTTACCCAGGCTACAATATTGACTAGCTAATTACTGGGTTAATTAGTATATTTACGTGTGTACCTATCCGTTTTCACCTGGGTTATTGTATTTTCATCCAGATACCCGAATAACTCTTGGGTGACCCGAATTTGACTAACTCGGGTTGCAACTCTAATTAGAATATAGTTTGTACTAAATTAGAATATAGTTTG